TGAGTACTAAATTATTGCGTTTTAAAGTTTGGGAGGCCAAAGTGGCATTAGCACAAAGTAGGGTACGGGAATACTGTCAAACAATAAGAATAGAGTTAGTCAATTAGCTAAATCTTAGGGGTACTTTAAGAAATTTGCCCAAAAAACAAATGCTCGTTGCTCATTTAAAAGCCTTAAACGTAACAAATGTGCAAAAGAAAGACAAAAAACATTGAGTTTCAATGTTTCATATTTCAGCAGAAGATCAAATCCATATATATTCACGTAATTGTGGAAGACCAAGTTTCAAAATTTGGTCAAAAAATTCTGTATTATTGGAAAAAGGAAAGGAAAATGTACTTTATGTTGCTTGTTGCTTATCTTTCCTAACAGATAATAAACGAGTGTGGAGGATTGCCCTAAATGAGCCCCCCATAGTTGAAATGATAATCTTTAGCTGGAACTTTCAAGGGCTAGGCTCTCCAATGGTATCTGCTGAATTGTAAAAGAAAACTGGGTTGGGTAAGGGACTGGGATTGTTAGGGGGTTGATGCAGTTGATTTGTCTGGAGAGCTAGCTTCTGGAACACAGACCTAAATCTAAAGGTCAAATTAGCGAATGAAAGGATGATCACTACAAGTATAGAAGAGGAAGGCAAAAACCCTTGGACAATTTCTTTTGTATATGGTGAGTCGAATACAAAGAAAAAGGAGAATTTTTTGATATGTGGTCAAGGACTGCAAACCTAATCACAGGACCATGGATGTGTATAGGAGACTTCAACTTGGTTTTTAGAAGGGAAGATAAAAGCGGTAAAAACTCGATTTCTTCTGCGGTTTAAAGAAGAAATAAAAGGCTACTAAGCTCCCTGGGTTTGAAGATCGTACCAAGTCATGGTGAGAGGTTTACATGGACAAATAAAAGAGGTGGCAAAGGCAATGTAAGAGAAAAAATAGACATGGCTATGGCCAATAAGGAGTGGTTGGATCTTTTTCAAGAAGCAAGATCAATTAGCTTTTCAACTGGTGGGTCGGACCGTATACCAATTTGTCTAGACTCAGCTCCAAATTTAGGAAAAGTCAAAAGACCTTTTAGATTCGAAAACCTATGGAGTGCCCATGAGGATTGTGGTAAGATCATAGAAGAAGTGTGGGAGACTGGGAATGCTAATAAGAATCAAGCAGAGGTTATTAAGAGATGCAGGAACCTAAAATCTGAGTTGAGAAAATGGAATAAAAGAACATTTGGGAAGGTACAAGACAAAATTAAGGCTATACAAATGGAAATTAGCATGCAAAGTAACAAGCCTGAGTGTTCATATAGCCGGACAAAAGTAAATGAGCTAGAAAATCAACTAGATGAAGAGCTAAAGAGAGAAGAAACATTATGGGCGCAAAAGTCACAAATGTGGCTAAAACTTGGTGACAAGAATACAAAATTCTTTCATCAAGTCACTCTAAGAAGAAGGGCCAGGAACATATTAGTTGCCCTTAAAAATGAAGAGGGGGATTGGGTATCTGATCAAAAATACATCTCAAAGATGCTGGTTGAAAGTTTCTAAAGACTTTTTATCTCTTTGAATCCAAAAGAAAGGGAGGACCTCTTAGACTTAATTCAGCCTTCCATAACAAATGAGGACAATAGAGCTTTCCAGAGGAAATTAGAGAAGCTCTTTTTCAAATGAGCCCGCACAAGGCTCCAGGCCCAGACGGGTTCCCAAATTCCTTTTTCCAAAATTACTAGAACAAAGTGGACCCAAGAGTGGTAGGGGCAATTCAGGATTTCTTCAATACAGCAATCATGCATAAGGAATTGAACAAAACATTCATTGCCTTGATTCCAAAATGTAAGAACCCAGAAATTGCCTCTCAGTTCAAACCTATTAGTCTCTATAATTCCCTTTACAAAATAATAGCAAAATCCTGTTCAACAGGCTAAAACCTTTCCTTTCCTAAATAATCAACCCAAATCAGAATGCTTTTGTTCCTGGTAGAATGATTTTTCACAATATTTTGATTGCCCATGAAATTATCCATTACATGAAAACTACCAAGTCAAAACAAAACTTCATGGCTATTAAAATTGACATGAGCAAAGCATATGATAGAATAGAATAGAATTTTGTTCAGAGTGTTCTGAGGAAATTAGGTTTTGGGGAATCTTTTGTGAAATGGATTGTGGAATACATAACTTCTAAAACCTTTCAAATTCTGGTTAATGGGAGCCCAAGTGTTTTCTTCAAACCTTTTAGAGGCTTGAGACAAGGAGACCCTCTATCTCGATATGTTTTTCTACCATGCTCTGAAGTCTTCTCACTAATGATTCATAAGCTACATGTATGCAGGGGTTGTCTCTGGTATTAAGATGAATCCTTCCTGTCCTGCTATTACCCACTTGTTCTTTGCAAATGACTCGTATATCTTCTCCAAAGAAAGTTTTGAAGAAGGTGGACAGATCTTGAATGCCTTGAAGGAGTATGAGGAAATTTCGGGTTAACAGGTAAATCTCACTAAATCAGAAATTTACTTTAGTCCAAACATGCATCCAAAATTTAAAAAWGTTTCTTTCCAAAATTATGGGTATTCAAGCTGTTAGCTATCATTCATCCTATTTGGGTCTTCCATCTTCTTTGGGCAAATCAAAGAAAAGAAACTTCAAGTATTTGTGTGAGCGAGTGGAATTCAAAGCAAATGGGTGGAAATCTTCCTTATTGAACACTGCTGGAAAAGAGGTGATGGTCAAATCCATTCTAAGCTCTATGCCAACTTACTCAATGTCTTGCTTTATGATACCAAAAGAGGTATGTGCTCAATTGGCTAGATTTCAAAAAAAAATTGTGGGGAAAATCAAAGATTAGCAAGAAAGTCAATTGAGTTAGTTGGACAAAAATCTGCATAAGCAAATGGAGGGGAGGCCTAGGATTTAGAGACTCACATCTGTTCAACCTAGCCCTTTTATCAAAATTAGCTTGGAGGTTTCTCTCAAATAAATATAGCCTTTGGGCCAAAGTAATAGAGGGTAGGTATTTTCGAGGAAAGAACTTTTGGTCTTTACATGTTCCATCTTCTTGTTCTTGGGGCTTTAGGAGTTTGTTGGCAGGTAGGGAGATTTTGAGAGAAGGGGCTGTGTGGTGTGTGGCAAAAGGGGAGAACTTAAATGTTTGGGAAAATCCATGGATTTCTGGACTGCCAAATTTTAAGCCTTTAGGGCCAAAACCATCTCAACTCAAGTAGAAAGAGTCAGTGACTTGATTGACCCTCAATCAAATGAATGGAACTCAAGAAAAAATCATGACAACTTTGACTTTATAGTAGCCCAAAAGATTTTAGCCATGGATCTCCCTAGAAGAGGGGGTGAGGACAAATTGTGCTGGTTTCCAGATGCAAAATCATGTAGGATGTAAACTGAATTCCCTTGATGAGATTAATAGATCTCATGGCATCCTAACTCAAGTTCAGTGGAAAGATCTTTGGGTCCTCAGAATCCCCCCAAAGATAAAAYATTTCATTTGGAAATGTTGCCACAACAGTATTGCAGTGTCAGCAGTTTTATCTGATAGAGGTATTGGGTCTAATCGAAATTGCCATTTATGTGATTGTGCCAATGAAGACATCCTTCATGCTCTTTTGGGTTGCAGTCATACTAGGGCAGTATGGTTTGGGAGTAGATTAAATGCGAGGTTCCCCTTCGGGACTTCAGTTCAATCATTTGCAGAATGGTGGGGCCAGTGGACAGCCCAGTTAGATGCTATTTCTAATTTTACTAGGACTGACTTAGAGTTCTCAGCTATTTTGTTATGGATGGTGTGGAAGGCTAGAAATGATTTTGTCTTTAATGGAATTATCCCCAATGCTGCTCTCACACTATTATCTGCTAACAAGTTGATGTCGGAAGTTCAGAAAGCTTCCCAGAAAGAATCGGAAGACCCCTCAACTCCTAAAGCAAATCAAAGCAAGAGTGAAGTCCAACAGAATTTTTTGGGTCTGTTTTGTACAGCTTTTACAGATGGTGGATTCTCAAAGGATGGTTCAAGTGGTTTTGGTTTTATAGTACAAGATGATTCTGGTTCTCTTTTAACTGCAAACTGTGGTCCCTGTAAAGCAAAATCTGCTATATATGCTGAACTAGTAGCTATCTGTGAATGTAGTATGTGGGCCACCAGCAAAGGTTTCTCAAACCTATTGATTTATTGTGAATCCAGGACTCTAGTATCTATCCTAAATAAGAAATCTTTTGAAAGCCCCCCAGAGACTTGGCCTCTATTATCAGATTATTATAACATAGCAGGTTTGGATTGTAGGTTCATCTGGATTAACAGGACTGCTAACAAGTCCGCTCATATTCTTGCTTCAAAAGGAAAGGATGGAGTTTCAGGTTCTTGGAACTCTCCCCCGAACTGGCTGATAGGGCCTCTAGCAGAAGATTCTGCAATTTTTTCCTCTTTTTCTTAATCTGTTTTTTTTTTTCTCAGTTTTCTACCAAATAAATAAATAATTGTGGGGGAAAATTCCTTATCAGTACCCTGTTTTAAAATACGACAATTCAATACCCGAACTTTTAAAATGTGACAATCCAGTACCTACCGTTAATCAACCGTTAAGTGACATTTGAAAAGTAAAATATGCCATAAGAATGCTATCTAATTCTCTTTATCAACCATCCAAACATTGACAATAAAATGAAAACAGTCATCAACTTTTTTAAATAGAAGAGGCTATGATTTGGGACTGTTCAGTTTTTTGTCAATGTTTGGATGGTTGATAAAGAGAATTAGATGGCATTCAAAGAGCATTTTTTTACTTTTCAAATATCACTTAATGGTTGATTAACGGACTGATTAACAACAAGTACTGAATTGTCACATTTTGAAAGTTTAGAAACCAAATTGTCACCGGAGCCAAAGTACAGGGTATGATTGGGAATTTTCCCTAATTATGGGTACCTGCTTGCGGGGCTTAATGAAACTTGATTCTTAATTGAGTATATACCCGTTTACAAAAGTACTACCCAGATTGAATTCTAATACTGTGTTTGGTTTGAAGTAAAAAGTAGGGAAAGACGGAAAAGATAGAGAAATCTTTACTTGTTTAAGTTTCCCTTCCTTTCCTGCCTTTTACTTCAAACGAAACATAGCCTATGTTGTTTTCTGATTTCATGGAGTGAGGGAGTGCCAAAGCCAAACGCTATCTGATCTCAGTTTGTCTGCCGGCGAAACTGGACATTCTTCTCCAGCATACCTCCACTTCGATGGAAAAGTCTTCACTGGAAAWCTCCCTTTCTTTCTCATATTCTTTTTCCCCACTCCACTCACAAGCCATACACAAACACTCTCTTCTCCCATACAATAAATCCTCTCGGCGCCCAGCTTCATCCTTGTCCCTCGCCACCGGATCCTGCAGGGCTTCTACGACGTCGCTGACGGTGGCCATGGCCAGTGGTAAGTGAATACAGATCTGCTTCTGAACCCACACTCTTTTTTCCACCCAATTTCTACCGGATTCGTGCCGAGCTTTTTTTCTGTTGATTCTGGACTTTCTAGCAGAGACAGAAACATAGACAATGTAAAAGTAGTTAAATGAAATCGCAAATGTGTTTGTCTGTTGTGCAATGCCGGCATAAAAGTTCTCGTGGGTTTTTCATCTGATGTTCAAAACTTATTTGCAGCATTAAGTGCTATTTTTTGTTCGAGTTTTTCTTTGTTTTTATTTTTCCTGTCCTCTTCTTTTGTGACTCTCTCTGAGCTTCCAATGTATCATCATTTCCGGCATAACATTTTAATTGGGCTTATTATTTGCTTTTAGTAATCTGGTAGTCTCCAAGTCTAAATGAAGTTGCTCTGTTGTGGGTCGTTTGCCCGGTTTTAGATGAGTGAAGAAAGGCTATATCAAGGTTGAAACTTCAGTGTCAGTTGTTCCGTCAGTGGCTTCCTTCTTTTGAGTGTTTCTGACGTGATAGAGTGCTCGAAAGCATGCATTCTAGAAAAGATGAAGATAAACAGCACTGGTTTTCCTTTTTCCCCCCTTTTCGTTGGTTCTCTAAGCTCAGTTTGGAAGGAGTACAAATACAAATATGTAGAGTGCAAGGCTTTATACTTTGTATTATTTTATATCCCAAGGAAACTCAGGAACTGCTAAATTCATATTGACTCGTGATGCTCTGTTCTGTATTTTTTGTCATAACTGCTTATTCTATCTTATCCCTAATCGTTTGTAATTCTGTGTGCTTAGACACTTCTCTTTTCATTTTTAACACAAGGAATATGAACATCATGTGCATGCCTACCGTTTTACTTCCAATGATAAATAAAATGTTATCAGTTTCCAGTAAGAAAAAGGCCATTACCCAGTGTTGGTTCTGGTTATCTGTGGTCTTGGATGGGATGGACTGGGCACAAGTTTACTTCAATAAAGTACGAAGTGGATGCTCTCAAACTCAAACGTGCCTTCTCACATTGCCTGCCCAAAATTTCCTATCGTACTAAGCAATGGCCCCTTATTGCTTGTCAATGTGTTTTGGAAATATCTGAGCTGAAACCCTTGAAGTCCTTCAAGATCAATACCCCCCCCCCCCCAAAAAAAAAAAAAGGTCTCCTTTTCCCAATTGCAACATCCACGTCCAGCTTTTCCATCAAATGTGTGTGTGCATTCTGTTCCTTCCATAATCTCCCATGCAAAGAGAGGAGTAGCAAGGCCTGGCAAGTCTCTTGGAATGACCAATTTATGGTTGAAAGGTCCAAAAAAGTGAACCTAAATCTTATTCCAGAGAAAGGGTAACATATTCATGAGTTACCAATTGCCCATGTAAATTACAAAGAGAATCTATTCTTCTCCAAACCTCTTCTCCTTCATATAATATGTGGTCCATAAGAAAAAAGAGGCTTCGGAAGGGACATTTGCTTCCTTAATCCACTTCCATGGCAGACTGAGGAATAATTGAATGTATCAACCTCAAAATCATTCACATGGCATTGTGGTCTGGGATTCTGTACAGCTTCACCACCTGTCAGATCATGGCATTGACTTATACTGAATACTTTGCATGCAGCCAGCTGGTGAAGAGTCACAAAGGGGATTGCTTGCCTGCGCCTATTCCAATCATCACTCCAAAAGCATATATGCCACCTGTCCTGAGGTGATTTTTAAGATATGAACTTCTTAAATTAAACCATGGTTTTCAGTGTACCTTTCTACACACTCAAGTAAACCCTACAAARCTTGGAATGGCAAGGGACAACCCAGGGAAGAAGTTCCATGTTTGCTTCGGTGACCCTCCAGGGATTATCTCTTGCAAGTTCATAGCACCACAACTCTTCACCCTATAAGGATTTTTCATGCAAAGGACCCTCAAACTCTCTCTAGCAAAGACCTCTATGGGTACATTCCTGCAGCACTCTGCTATTACTTGTTACATTGTACATTTCCATTTCAACCCTAATCCAAATACAACCTCTAAGTATCTGAATTTGTTCATTATGAAGAGATTTAACTATGTTGGGTACTCATCAAAGAATCACTCTTGGCCAGGTTCTCTTAGTCAAGTTTATTGGTTATATGTGAAATGTGTATGACATTCCATTAGTAAAATTAAAAGTGATAGTCATGTTGCCAGGATTGCTTTAGTAAAAAACAAGAGCCCAAATCATTCTTCCTTTTAAGTCATGAATGTGTTGAAATTCAGTGGTTTGACCTGATTGCTGCATGATCATTTGCAGGAATAGGAGAAACAGCAAGAAAGAGCAAAGCAGAGGCAGGGAGCAATAATAGAGATGCAAGATGGTCTTTAAAGGGAATGACAGCTTTGGTTACTGGAGGAACCAGAGGCATTGGGTCCACTTCTGTTTTTCTTTTGTTTTTTTAACCTGTTCCCTTTTTTCCTGCTTGTTTCAAATTTTATATGTTTGTTCTTTGACTCTTCAAAGCTCCTTTTGTTATTTCTAATGGTTTGACAATGCTTCTAAAACCTTATTCCTCAAGGGTTGGACCATACCTTTTATAAAATCTCTATTATGTGTTCAGTCATGCCATTGTGGAAGAGTTAGCTGGACTAGGGGCGATTGTACATACATGTTCTCGAAATGAAGATGAGCTCAATTGTTGCTTGGGAGATTGGATGACCAAGGGTTTCCAAGTCACCGAATCAGTCTGTGATGTATCAGCCCAACTACAACGAAAGGATCTGATGGAAACTGTCTCTTCTGTTTTCAGTGGCAAGCTGAACATCCTTGTAAGTTTGCCCTTCTATTTTTCTCCTCTTTCTTCATTTATTCTGGTGTTTAGGCTTGAAAGTAAGGCATTTGTTGATGTGAAGGAATAGCTCTGTAATGGAATGGAAACCCATTTTCAAACAAGTGCTTTCATGAGATTCTAAAACAGAATTCAATGAGGAAAAAAATTGTTATTGGCAATTGTAGAAATTCAAAACTAAGAAAAGAATGGAGCCTTGCTGTTATCTTTGTAAGTTTCATAGTATAAATACTAAATGGAACTAATGTAATACTATATCATGAAGGAGTAAATCACAATGAACTTCCATTGCCAGAGAGAGGGGGCTGTTGTATGAATATTTTTACTTTAGATCTTCTCCAGCCAAACTGATGCTAGCAGTCTATATCCAGGTATCCAACAACTCACTTGCGCACTCATAATCATGCACTTGCCATGCACATATACGAAATGGCCAGGTCATTTTCCAAATCACAATATGAAAAACAAAGTAATTTTGTAGTAAAACCAGTTAAAGAACTATATGAAGAAGAAGAAGATGAAGAAGAAGAAGAAGAACTCTCCACAGTCCACTAGACAACTTCTCATGGGATCTGATGTTGCGCGATCTCGCTGCTCCCTGCTGGAGGTGATTTGGCTTCTAGGCGGACGACGGACTAAGTTGATCTGCAAGAGAAGGATCAGAGAACCCGGGGTTGCTAGCCTGGCGAGGTCGCTCCGATGCTTAAGTCAGTAAACTGGTAGCGAGTTGAAATAGCTTAAGGATGTAGGAGAGCTAGAAAGCAGAGAAATCACGCGTACCTTGAACCTCTGGGGGTGGAGCCTTTATATAGTCGAGTCCTCGCGGGTTTCGCGGATCAGTTCCTGGATCTTCGTCACGATAGGACCCGTTTCCGCGTTAGTTGGAAGATAATGCTGCCACCCGATAAGGTTCATCACTTCCGCCCGAATCGGTCGGGGAGATAATGCTAGCTGTTACGCAACGTGATCCCGTGAGGCCCGGGATCCGTTGGAGGGGTTTTCGGGATCACCACGTAGTGGCATGTCGGTATCCCCGAACTGATGCTCTTCAGTCCCGAACTGGGGTGAACCCCGAAGTGCCTTGGGACCGAGGTGGTCCTGATGCGACCTTGTACCGAGGTGACCTCGTCCCGAGGTGACCCATGCCGAGGTGGTTTGATTATCCGAGTTCGATCTGTTGCGGTCTTGGTATGTCGAGCTGAGCTGTCATCTATTAGTCAGGTCGTGTCCACGTGTCCCCCTATTACTAGGTCGGGCCAAATCGCCCTTCATCAATTGCCCCCTACTCCCCGAGCCAGGGGTCCCAACCCGGTGCGGGAAGTTCATGACGAGTCCAGGTGGATTTTCCACGAGGTCTAGGCGGTCTGTCGAGCGGATCAGTCGGTCGGACTTGTTCGAACCTTCGGTTTAACCAGCCGTAGCCTAGGTCGTGTTGGGTGTACGCGCGGACGTCACGCTGTTTATGGACTCCGCAGACGTTAAAAACGCGCTCAACTGATTTCGTCCTCGGGCGTCATGCAACCAGTTTTCATGAGAACCGTTGGATCAAGCAGACCCTAGCCGTTGATCGACTCGCAGTGAACTATAAATAGGGGGCCGAGGGACCCCTCTTCTTCGCCAAAAATTCTGTGATTGAGCTCTCCCGAGGTCGCATCGGAGTCTTTCAGCTCGCTCTTTCTTTGTATTCCGAGGTCGTTCTTCTTTTGGTGAGTTCGTTGTTTTTCTTAGTTTGTTCTACTTTGTTATTCTTGTTTTAATCATGTCTAGTGCTAGCATAGATAGGCTCCTAGGTGATTCTAGTGAGCTCGAGGGTGTCGAGGTGCAGTCCTCGGTTCCCGCTAGCGAGGTCAGCTCCTCGCTAGGTAGCTCCCCCCTTCGCCCCTTAGAGGAAACTTCCTTACCTGAAGTTGGGCCATCTCGGCCTGAGGAACCCGAAGCTCGGGAGGAGGATAGGCTACTGTCTTTGGTAGCTCGCTACCGTCTCCCTGATAGTTTAGTTTTTAGCGTTCCTCTAGGTCAATACCCTTGGGCTCATGATCACCATGAGCTCGCAGTTTTCGAAGAGCAGCTCGTAGCTGGGCTGCGCTTCCCGCTCCATCCCTTCATTATAGAGATAATCAAGTTTTTTAACATCACTATCGACCAACTTCACCCGAACTCAATCCGGACTATAGTAGGTACCATCTCTTTGTTCCACGAATACAATCGACCTCTGTCTTTAGACGTCTTTAGTTCGATCTGTTCAATTAAAAAGAATTCCGCTTGTCTGTGTGGGGACGTTCGATAGAGTTACTATATCTCTCCTCGGCCCGGGTTTAAAATCCTGTTCGGTAGCCCGAACAAAGTGCCGACCTGGAAGAGAAGGTACTTTTTTGTTCGGAATCCTGAGGGATGGCCTTTCTTGACTCACTGGAGGGTGGCTATCAAATATCCCAGGGTGAGCTTAGATGCGGAGACTAGGGCAGTTGTTAACTCTTGGAGGGACCTCGGCCTGGAGATGAAAGATTTCTTGGCCGAGGAGAAGCTTGTGCGAGCTGGACTGAGCCCTCCTGGTAGGTCTTCACCTCGGTACTTACTTTAAGTTTTTCTTAGTTCGTGACTAACCTTTCCTTTTCCTCCTGCAATAGCCATGTCGGAAGTCGACGCTGAGAACCTTCTCAAGAGCTTCCAAAGAGGAGGGAAGAAGAGGAAGGCTTCAAAAAAGCCTCGCGATGAGGCTGGTCCTTCTGCCCCCACTCCATCCGAGGTCCTTGCGCCGGAGTCGATCTCTGCAGAGCTCCTGGAGGAGGAGGCCCGCCCTTGGCCTCCCGTTGTGGACCTGGACGAAGACCAGGAGGAATGCGTTCTGCCTCATGAACCGGAGAGCACTTCGGCACCCGAGCCTTAGCTCCCAAAGGACAGTATAATGACCCCTCGGCTCGGGCTGCTCAAGAGCAAGGATGTCGTTTTTCCAACTGAGGTCGCGGAGTGGTTCCTTGATCGAAGCGCTGATCTGGAGAGTTTTGGCTGGATCTTCTGTTGAGACCGGGATGTGGACCGTCTCTTCCGTTGGCGTAGCTCGCTCTTCGGGATACTCCACAGGTCGCTTGAGCTCGATATCAGCCACTAGCTTGGATTTTCCCTTGAGAGCGGCAACGTAGCACTTGCGAGACTTGAGCTGGTCGCCTCGCACAACCCCTACTCCATAGTTCGTCGGGAACTTCATGGCCAAGTAGTAGGTGGATACTACTGCACGTAGGGCGTGCGTAATAGGCCGACCTACAATGGCCTTGTACGGGGAGGGAGTCGCGACCACCAGGAATGTGTGCTCGAACCTTGCAATGTTGGGCTACGTGCTGACCTCTACGGGTACTGAGACTCGCCCTAGCAGTCTGACCTCTTCGCCGCTGAAGCCTACCAGGGGTGTATCTGTCGGCTTGAGATCGCTTTCTTGGAGCTGGAGCTTGTCGTAGGCGTCCTTGAACAGAATGTCGGCCGAACTGCCCGAATCCACTAGGACGCGCTTTACTTCGAAGTCATTCAGTCTCATCTTTATCACCAAGGCATCGTCATGGGGGTACTGGATCCCACGTGCATCATCTTCTGTGAAATAAATGGGATCTTCGAGCCTGGGTCGCTTCAGTGGATTATGCTCTTCATTCTCTAGTTTGCGAACTGAAGCTTTACTCGCCGCTGAGGTGCAGCCTGCGATGATGGCCCGCCAGTAATCATGTTGATTACTCCGCGGATCGGCCTTTCTTCTGGTAGCTGCCTCTGCGGCTACTCATTCTGCCTGCTACTGGACTCGGGAGCATTTCTTCTTTTCTCTTCCTGCCGATCTGCTTGGTTTTTATTTTCTTTTTGTATGAAATTTTTTAGATATCCGCAACGGATGAGTTTTTTTATCTCATCGCGGAGGTTTCTACAGTTTTCGGTACTATGACCGTGATCTTTGTGAAAGTGACAATGCACGTTCCTGTTTCTGGTGGCGGGGTCCCCCCTCAACCGAGGTGGCCACTTGACGTAGGAGGAGTCCTTGATTGTCATAAGGATTTCTCCTCGCTTCGCGTTGAGAGGTGTGTAGCTTGTCTGTTCAACTGGCGGAGTTCGGGAACGCCGAACTGACTTGTGAGATTGTGAAGGATATCGGCTCCCGGACTTGTTTCCTCCCCTAGTCGGGGACTTGCTCTTTCTTCGCTTGTTGCCACCGTTACCTGCGCTGTCACCTTCTCATTTCCTCTTTTCTGCTGGATTCTCAGTCTTTTGGTTCATCTCTTCCTCGGTCCCGATGAACTGATCGGCAAGCTTGAGGAATTTCGTGATGTCCTTCGGCTTATTGGCCACCACATGCCACTTGAATTCTCTGTGTGTTATACCTTTCTTCGCCGCCGTGAACCTCACTGTTGGATCTAGATCGGGGATCTACAAGCAGGTGTCATTGAAGCGTTTGATATAGCTTCTAATCGACTCCCCTTCTCTTTGAACTATGTTTAGGAGGCTTTCTTGGGACCTCAGACACTTCTTGCTGGTGATGAAGTGCGAGGTGARCAATTCCACGAACTGTGCCCAACTTCTGATCGTCCCTGGCGCGAGGTTCCTGTACCACGTGCAAGCTACTCCTTTAAATGTTGTGGAGAAGGCTACGCACATGCAGGACTGACTCGCTAGCCTCAGCTAGGTGCATCTGGGATTGGAAGGAGTCTACATGATCACTCGGATCGAAGGATCCGTTGTACTTGTCCAGAGGAGGCATTTTGAAATCTTTTGGCATAGAGGCCACCAGGAGCTCAGAGGATAAAGGAGACGACTCGGACAGGAGAGGAGCAGTCTTTGTGGCCGCTGAGCTCGCGTCCTCTTTGCCTTTCACTGTTTCTAGTTGATTGGGAACGACGAGCTGGCTACGAGCTATAGTTCGTCGTGCCTTGCGACGCTTTTGTTGCTTCTTCTTGACCGGCTCCGCATTAGTGCTACTGACTTTCGTATGATCTGGTACCGTTCTGGTGCGGAGTGGCTCTGGGTGTTGAGCCTGGCTACCATGAATGGATGGAACTTGTTTTGAGTCTGCGGCTAGGGGCCCGAACCGGTTGCCTGCGAGCGAGCCCTCTTGATGAGAAGGCCGAGGTAACGTGGCCCTGGCAGGCTGAGTATCTCCCGATCTGTTCAAGTTGCCCTGAGAAGCGGGCGGGGTGACTTGCCTATCCCTCCTGCTGCGGGACGAGACCTGACTCCCAAGAGGAAGTGGGACTTGGGAGGTCTCGCCTCGACGGGGAGAGCGATTCTGTTGACGACGACGGGGTTGATTTTGCTGTGTCGCCGGATGCTGAGGTGGAACCGGCTGCGGATTCTGTTGTAGCGGAGGGAACTGCTGCTAGTACTGTTGCTGGTAAAAGTGATGGAGGACCTGTTGTTGATAGTGCTGAAACTGCTGGACCTGTTGCATTTGGACTTGGATGGCCCGTACGCAGTGTACCAGGTCGTCAAGTTGGGATTGCCCGACTCCAGGGGGAACCACAGATGGTTCAGCAAATGTCGCGCCGACTACAGGAGGGAGTGGCGCGTTCACTTGTGAAATCGCTTGGGGCATGGTCAGCGTTAGGACCCCAACCGCAGTAAGCGGTATGGTAAACTGACCTATGCAGACAGACGGGAACTGAGGTTGCCCCCCGGAGACGTTCGCTTCGTTGTTTTGTCCGGCGTTGCTAGAGGAAGCCATGGATTTGATTCTGTTATTGATGGTGGAGAAAGGCTTTTTGTAACGTTTCCCACAGACGGCGCCAAATGATGTTGCGCAATCTCGCTACTCCCTGTTGGAGGTGATCTGGCTTCCAGGCGGACGATGTACTAAGTTGATCTGCAAGAGAAGGATCAGAGAACCCGGGGTTGCTAGCCCGGCAAGGTCGCTCTGATGCTTAAGTCAGTAAACTGGTAGCGAGTTGAAATAGCTTAAGGATGTAGGAGAGCTAGAAAGCAGAGAAATCATGCGTACCTTGAACCTTTGGGGGTGGAGCCTTTATATAGTCGAGTCCTTGCGGGTTTCGCGGATCAGTTCCGGGATCTTCACCAGACAGGACCCGTTTCCGCATTAGTTGGAAGATAATGCTACCACTCGATAAGGTTCATCACTTCCGCCCGAATCGGTCGGGGAGATAATGCTAGCTGTTACATGGCGTGATCCCGTGAGGCCCGGGATCCATTGGAGGGGTTTTCGGGATCACCGCGTAGTGGCATGTCGGTATCCCCGAACTGATGCTCTTCAGTCCCGAACTGGGGTGAACCCCGAAGTGCCTTGGGACCGAGATGGTCCTGATGCGACCTTGTACCGAGGTGACCCATGCCGAGGTGGTTTGATTATCCGAGTTCGATCTGTTGCGGTCTTGGTATGTCGAGCTGAGTTGTCATCTATTAGTCAGGTCATGTCCATGTGTCCCCCTATTACTAGGTTGGGCCAAATCGCCCTTCATCAGGATCTATACCTGTTATAGACTTATGGAACTCTCTGGTGAGAGTTGTCCTATGGAAAAGCATGCTTCAAAAGTCCTGTTTTGTCATTCTACTCCATCAAGGGCAGTATCTATTGTTAAATCATGAGACTTCAAATTATTTCTCATGAATTCAATCCATGTCTTTTTCGGCCTGCCCCTAGCCCTTCTGTGCATGGAAAGGAGTTGGCTTTTTTGCCTCAGACTCCTAATTCAGCAAGTGCCCCTGAATCAATTTGTCATGTGGGACTCAGTGTTTTAAAAGCGCAAGGCACAAAGCGAGGTGCACACCTTTTTAAAAAAAAGTAAAAAACCTATTATCTAAAATTAAAATACAAAAACATAACATGTAAAGCATATTCAAATGAGAATTTAAAAATAAAATCAAACATATAAAACATTTTCAAGCATGTAAAACCCACAATCTGTTTTTTTCCTCTATTACATTACTTCAAGTATCTAATGTGATGTAAAACATATTACATTCCTAATTTTACGAGCCACCTTATGCCATGCCCCTAGAGGCAAGCCCAAACAAGTCCATGTTATGGTCTTAAATTCTTAGTTCTCACACAAAAAAATAATGATTTTATAATTTTAATTGTTTTTTAAGAAGATATTTTATTAGGATGAATGAATGATCAACCTTACCAAATAGGGAGTTCAAAAAAAGCAAAAAAGCGTCAAATTTTTAAAAGGCGTGCGACCTGGGCTGAGTGCGCCTTTCGAAAGGGCAGCACTTAGGTCCTAGGCGAGGTGCATACCCTAAAATGCGCCTCACCTATGCACCTAGGCGCACCTTTTAAATCACTGGTGGGACTCCCCCCTAAATCCTAGTTTGCCTCTTTGTGGATACTAGTTGGACAAATTTACAAATTTGCCTGCCAAGTTACCCCATCCCCCATAATGACAGAAAAATGTGTATCCAACCAATGTGAGATGAAAGCTACCCATCTAAAAACTGAGTTCTCTATGTACATTTGTTTTTTAACAGTAGTATGTGCAGCAAAGTTACTGCTCCTTTGGTGAGAGAGTCCTATTCTCCCCAAAAAGGAAGTTATGTGCAAGGAGATATCTGGGTGAATATTTTTGTTCTTAAACAATGAGATTTAATCTGTTTTTACTTCCAGATTTTCCACCTCAAGAGCAGCAGCTTCGTGAGGCAAAGGATCTTCCCACTCATAAATAAGATATTTTGATGACAAAGCATAAAATTGACAATAAATAAGGGCTGCCCAGTGCACGAGGCTCCTGCCAATGCGGAGTCTGGGGAGGGACAGATGTATGCAGCCTTACCCTTTTTTCTTTTTGATAAATGGATGCAGCCTTACCCTTGCACATACAGAGAAGCAGTTTCCAAGATTTGAACCCTGGCCTGTTGGGTTACCCTTTGGGCTGTGTTTGTAGGGATTGTCACTAGGGTTTGTTTGTGGCAATGATGTATTTAGTAGGACACTGTGGACTGCTTATCTGCCCACAACTTCTTATTGTAAATGACTTTTTAAATTAATGAATCTTTTCTATGTTGTTGATCAAAAAAAAAAAAAAAAAGGATTTGAACCCTGGCCACCCAGGCTGCAATGGAACAACCCAATTGTTGCACCAAGGCCCACCGAGGTCACCATAAAAATGACAATAAATAATAATAAAAATGACAATAAAGAATAACAACAATTAATAATATGTTCAACTCAACTAAGCCTCATCCTATCTATCCCCCCCAAAAAAAAGAAAAAGTAAGCCTTGTCCCAACTATATGGGGTATGAATTCTKCTCTGCCATTTCACTCCATTCAGTGCCATATCCATTGTTACTTTATGGGCCCTCAATCATTTCTCAATTCACATGACCAAACCATCTTAGTCTACCTTCCATCATTTTATGACCTATTGGATCTACTCCCAACAACAACAATAAAAATAATAGAAAGCATTGATAGTGGGGCTGTCATACCTTCAAATTGTTGTATTGTAAGAAATTACCAACTTAATGTAAATCTGGCCAACATTAATAATGTTTGAATAAGGTCAAACCTTTCTAAGTTTTTTTTTTGGTCTTCCATTACATGGTACACACTTGATTATTTTTCTTTTACAGTGTCCTGAACCATGAGAGAATTATGATGCCTGATTTCTGGTTTTAGATAAACAATGCTGGAACAAATATAAGGAAACCAACCATAGAGTACACAGCTGAAGAATTTTCCACTATCATCACTACAAACTTTGAGTCTGCTTTCCATCTTTCCCAACTTGCATATCCTCTTTTGAAATCATCTGGAAAAGGAAGCGTCGTATTCATATCCTCTGTGGCTGGTTTGGTAGCACTTGGTATTGGGACTGCTTCTGCAGCATGCAAAGGTAATGCATTCACAAGCCCTGATCTCTTCTGTAGCAAAGTTGATATTAGAAGTTTGGATGTGAATCTAGATGTTGTTTATGCAATCTGATGTATACTGTGCCATCTCCAGGAGCAATTAACCAGCTTACAAGAGACTTGGCATGTGAGTGGGCAAAGGACAATATTAGAACAAATGCTGTTGCACCTTGGTATATCAAAACCTCACTCGTGGAACATGTAAGATTATCTCACCCTACATATGTCATTTAGGTACTACAAATTTTTGGGGGTGTCAAAAGAGAATGATTCTATGTATAGGGAGCAATCTAGAAATAATTTCCATGAATGTACTATGTTCAAAATAGGCCTGCAGTCACCATATACCTAATGATAGAGGGATATGAAAATGATGGATTGGTTTAACCCTACCTAATCAGAACATGAAACAAAGAAATAGTACACCTTGGGTGAAATTGTAGGGAGAAGCAAATTGGAAAGCTCCCAACATTCAAAGTGTCATAGGAGCATGTGTGTATATGGGTATGTGTGCACATAGGGTGGGGAGAGAGAGAGAGAGAGAGAAGAGAAGTGGTTTGGCATTTACAGATAGACTGATTAATGCCTTTTGGTAAAATGTAATAATGCATTATTTAAATGCATATGTGAGTATATCATATAATTATATCAAGAATTAAGGCCTGCATTGAAATTGTATCATCATATTTGCTTTAAGCGTACTTGATTTCTGTAATTTCTGTTTCATCTTTTCCTTCCAGGTGCTCAAGAACAAAGAACTTTTGGAAAAAATCACCTATCGCACTCCTCTTCAGCGCCCTGGAGAGCCCAAAGAGGTCTCATCTCTAGTGGCATTCCTTTGCCTACCTGCTTCCTCTTACATTACAGGCCAGGTTATTCCTGTTGATGGTGGGTTGACAGTTAATGGTTTCTACCCAATACTTTGACTTAATTTTCCTTGTTTGATGTATAGAGCATTAAGTGTTTTCTTCTTTTTCCTGTAAATTAGTTTTGAATTGATATCTTTGAGTTACTAATGGTGATAGATTGTATACACCAGTCAAACATCTTCTATTAATATACAAGCAAGAAATTTAAGCATGGTTCCATGCATGATCCATGCTGCTAGTTGTCTGGAAAATAAAATATGCAAGTATGCAACCCTTTTCCACTTATCTAGTTATAAATAGGAGCAAAATCATTAAAAAAATAAAGAAATAAATAAAAATGGACTAGTACAGGCTATCTGTGGTATTGGAAGGAATAGAATGATATGGACCTAATCTCCACCATGTTTCCACTGTGTTATTCCTAGACCCTCAGATCAAGCCTATTTAAGATTTAACTAAAGTTCAACCCGAGCTTGCCCAAGTTGCACCCCCTAACTTCAACAGAAATGACCACTTTCAGACTTGAGCCCACATTCTTACATGTCAGCCCAAGGTTTTACCACTGCACAAGCAATAGTCCCTATCACTCATCTATGCATAGCAGGTGTTGTATACTAGTCAACCATGCACACATTTTGGTATCTATACAAGTTGATTTGGAGTGGTTATGATTTTAACAGGATAATGAATTTTGATGTATGGATCACTTAGACCTGGAACAAGCCAAGGTTCTATAGCCCTTGCAGATATGGCACATTTCAGAGTGAAAAATATTTATCCCTCAGCCTAGCCAACCAGAAATTCAGGTCACTTGGATCCACCAGGCTTCATATGCCTCAAACAAGTAGTTGGATGATCTTTAGGGAGGGGAAGTTGTTTAACTGTTTAAGGCTCGCCCTCAAGACAGTATGTATACATATGCATTGAATATTAACAGGCTCCAGTGGTGGTGCATTCAGTTCCAGGATTGGGTTGTTTATCCTAAAAAAGAATCTCATCGTGGCCAAGCCTATGAGGCATCCTTCTAACTCGCTTCCTGGAACATAGAAATGGTGTTCTACAGCAATCCAAAAGTTAACTTTTATATGGATACACCTCCAATCAACCAATATCATAAAAGAGGTGATCAATCAGGTGGTATTCATCACAATTCACATGTCAAAGATCTTCTGGTATCATGTCTTTCCAGTATCATAGATTTACCTTGAGAGAAAAATACTAATATAGAGACTGGTTTTTGTGGGCAAATTTTGCATGAGAAGCCATAAAAATAGTTTGTTATATCTTGGAATTTGGATGGATTGCAGGCAGGCACTGCCGTGGATAGTTAACAGTATGTAACAAAGAAGCCAACAACAGTTCAGTTCAACCTTACATTGTATCAATCATCTCGCCTAGATTCCCACGATTCTAATCAAACTGCCCACCACGTAAAGAGAACATCACACTTTTGGTGATATTCACGGTTTTATGGAACCTTGACAAAATAATATAGCAGAATCCGGAGCAACAATCCGGACTGGTGATCCATTATTGAGATCGCAAATTATGGATGTAATTCGATGATGGATCTTTGTCTTTTCAGGCGGGGGTTCTCAACATCTGTGTGGTTCATAAGATAGGAGTATTATCATGGTTATCTTTCAGAATTTAGTTTAATTGCTGCTATAGGTTCAATGCTTCAATGGCCTAGCCTAGGCCGATAAGACAAACTATGCCCGACCCGCATAAGAGTGGGCTGGAACATCTTTATCACTCCAGGCCCAGGCTATGGGCATCAGGGACTGTGAGTGCCCTTACATCTCTTAAAAAAATTCCGGCCCAGTCCATGTTCATCGTTGCCAATTAGAAACCGGTGAATACACAGATTCTTAATGATTCATGGCCCATGCCACTCAACACCATCGACCATCGTTTTGATAGAGGTGTAAACTGGGCTCTGCCAGCCTGACACAGCAGACGACTTAGCAGGCTGCCCTTGCCTTAGCGTGCCGGCCTGTGGGCCTAAGTGGGCCATTCCTGCTTGGCCTAGAACCACAATCAGGTCAGGCCCGGCATGGCCCATGACATGAGCCCAGGTGGGCCTGGGCCGGGCAGTTTGAAGCATATTTTTAAAAAACAATTGAAAATTAATGAAAATTTTAAAATAAATTAATAAAATAGACAAAAATTAAAAAAAATCTTAAATTTTTATTCCATATATTTTTTTTGGCAAAAAGATAGAAAATACAAATGCTTATATATAAAATAATAAAATGAAATTAAAAAAATTACAATACAATTGAAATAGAATCGTATAATAAAACTGAAAATAAATAAAAAATTATATATATAATACATGTGGGCCATGCTGAGCCGAGCCGGGCCAGGTCAGCATGGCCCACTTGTTCGTGCCGTGCCCTGCCGGCCTGCAAGCTTCAAAATCGAAGCCCAGCACGGCCCGGTTGCTGCAGTGACGGGCCGGGGGCACGGCCCACTTTAGAGCTCTACGTTTTGACAAGTTGGCTCATCTTGTCAGAACAGAATGTCAAGCAGTCAAGGCTCGAGTTGCAGAGAGAGAGAGAGAGAGAGGACATGGCGGAAGCAGAGAGCAGCAGCAGAGACAGCAGATGGTATCTCAAGGGAATGACCGCTCTCGTCACCGGAGGAACCAGAGGCATCGGGTTCGCTTTCTTCTACCTTTCATGCTTCCTATCTTTTTTTGGGGGGGAAAGACATGATACCAGAAAACATTATAACCAATCAACCGGCATCATGTGGTAATTGGTGGGTTTACATCGAAATCCACGCGAGGTTTTGATTGGAAAAAGCCGTTCCGGTATCATGTCTTTCCGGCGTCATAGATTTTTCCTTTCTGTTTTTTTTTTTATTATTATTATTTTTTTAATCTTCTTGTGACTTACAAGTTACAACTATATGCACTTTTGTGCTTCATCTCTGTTCAGTTTTGCTCTTATATTGTTTTTCTGGGTTTTGATAAAGCATCTAAAATCTTAACCCCCGAACCATAAACGTTAATTTTGTAATATCTTCATGTGTTTGTTTAGTCATGCCATTGTTGAAGAATTAGCTGGACTAGGGGCGACCGTACATACATGTTCTCGAAAAGAAGACGAACTCAATGGGTGCTTGAGAGATTGGGCAAGCAAGGGTTTTCGAGTCAGTGGTTCGGTCTGCGATGTATCGTCTCGACCACAAAGAGAAAAGCTTATAGAAACTGTATCCTCTGTTTTTAGTGGCAAACTCAACATCCTTGTAAGTTTTTCCCTCTTCCCCACTACAAGCTCTGGAAATGAAAATCCTACCAATTCATTTGCTTTGCTTTTCTTTTCTTTTTTCTATTAACTTTCTTCTTGGATGATATATATATATAAAAAAAAAGAAGTTTGTGAGGGAAAAAAACGAAGGTTTGTCAAAGTGTACTATACAAAGGCTAGTAAGAAACAACTAACAACGGAGCATAACCCTTTTAGATGAGAAAATAGAAAGTTCTTAAGTATAATCTAATCTGAATTTGTCCATCAGAAACTGTTCTTTAAAGCCATAGTGAAATCCAATCTAACCTCACTTTCTTCTTTCACATAACCCTACACTTTTTTTTTGAGCCATTTTCCCTAGTTGCACGTTTATTGCTATTTACCCCAATTTCTTCCTACTTATTGAAGTTTCAGACTTCTATACCCATATCAGAAATCAATCCAAACTAATTCTTTCAAGTGGTTAAAAGCTCTAGGTTTTGCTTCTCAACCTTTCTAGTTTAAGTCCCAAATGAATCTGGTGTAGATGGAAAGCAGGACTGCGGCAACCAAGTAGAATAGCTCAGAAAAATATAAAAAACAGTTGTTTGAAACAAATTTAAATCTTTTTTTTTTTGTGAAGAGGTAATGTATTGTATTAGATACAAAAGTATAAGGTCCTGTACAATGAGAATGCGTACAATCACGACCAGAGCTAGGACTCTCCAAAAAAAGTCCACCCTCAAAAAATAACCGGAACTATAAACATTTCTACATACATCGAAAAGAGATAACCAGCTCCTAAGCTATTTTATTATATAGTTAATAACCCCAGCCTCAGTCTTAGATTTTTGCTCAAAAGCCCTATTGTTTCTTTCCAACAAGATAGCCCACAACGCTGCAGATGGGATGATAGACCACACTTGTTTCCCTTCTTTAGACATGCCAGGCACACTCCATCCAGCTAGCACAGAGACTAACTCTGGCCAGCACCAACTCAGATTAATGGCCCTAAGAAAATGCTTCCAAACTCCTGTCGAGAACTTGCAGTGAATAAACAGATGACTTGAAGACTCAGTTTGCTGGTTGCACGAGGGGCAGAGCAAGTCCAGTAAGGTAAAGCGTCTTCTCATCAGCATCTCCTTGGTAAGGAATTTCTCCTTGGCAGCCACCCAAGTGAAAAACTTGACTTTTAGAGAGGCAATTACTCTCCAGAGTCCAGATGGCCTTGAAGGGGAAGGGCTGTCGGGCTTCACCCAGGAGCCCCCAGTAGCAGGATCTGACTGAAAAGCTGCCAGATTTTATCCAATTCCAGCATCTGGTGTCCTTGGACTGCAACTCTGGGTGCTGATTCTGAAGTAAAGACAGGAGCTCTACCACCTGATCCAACTCCCAATCATTGAAATTCCTTCTGAAGACTGGAGACCAAACTAGGCTGCCCCCTTCTTGTATGAGGCAATCAGCCACAGAAATCTGAGCATCATCAGCTGCAGCAAATGGAGAAGGAAATCTCTCTTTTAAAGCAGTATTACCACACCATGGGTCCAGTCAGAACCTCAGTCTTCTCCCATTTTGAACTCTATAGGAAATGCCATTCATGAAATGGGGATCAGATCTAAAAATTCCTTTTGAAATGCTAAAGCCGTAGGAAGGAAGAGAGCAACCTACATCCGACCCATTATTAATGAAATTTAAGCAAAGAGAAGTTTCCAGTGTGCTTACTGAAATTTGTCTTCTTGTTTCTCATGATGCGAGAGAGAGAGAGAGAGAGAGAGAGAGAGAGAGAGAGAGAGAGAGAGGTGTGGAACTAATAATTCGCTTAACTTTACTTCAACACTAAACGGGCTCCCATTAACATACCTAGATATGTTTTTGCCAGGACTAATTATTGCATAGGCTATCTAGTATCTATTCTTTATTTCCTAGTTTCTAGGCTCGTATATTTCTATATAAAAGATGTTCTACTATGACCAAGTATTTTTAATCCTAATAAGCTCCACATATCCTAAGGTCTCCTAATTCTAACTTTACCAGAGGTTTGTTGAGTGCTTATGCATTCTCAAGTGCTGATTTTGAATAATCCAATGGGTATGTGTTCAACTTTTAAATAGCATTTCCTATTTCCCCTTCCTTTCATTTCCTGGACCCATAAGGAATTTATGGTACCTGATGATCTGTTTCTAGATAAACAATGCTGGAACAAATATAAGGAAACCAACCATAGAGTACACAGCTGAAGAGTTTTCAACCCTGATAGCCACCAACTTAGAATCTGCTTACCATCTTTGCCAACTGGCATACCCACTTTTGAAATTATCGGGAGTGGGAAGCATCGTGTTTATATCCTCTGTTGCTGGTGTGGTGGCACTGGGTTCTGGGACTGTCTATGGAGCAAGTAAAGGTACCAACTACCATTTTTGTTTTCCTGATATCTTCATTTCAGAGCTAGTCTAGTTGTTGCTATTCTATGCAATCTGACATAGCCCATGTCATTTCTAGGAGCAATTAATCAACTGACGAAGAACTTGGCATGCGAGTGGGCAAAAGACAATATCAGGACCAATTGTGTAGCACCATGGTATATCAGAACCTCACTTGTGGAACATGTAAAGTCCTCTCACCCCACTCACATTCTATTTAAATATTATGATTATGTTTTAAGGACCATGGCATGACTTCCAAACTTGACATACGTCCAATCTGGGGTGCATCATACACCTAATACCATGGGGATGGATGTAGTAGCTATATGTGATGGTTGCTTTCATTAGATCTCAATGCAACAAATCAACCAGATTGGATGCTCATGGTATTCCAATTACTCTAGTGATGCAGGACTCATCCAAACAGCTTTCTGGTTAAAGTTTAACCTCAACTTGTTGAACAAAGTAGGCTGGGTAGAACTTAAAGAGATTGAATAATCACTAGACAAGTGAAGCAGAAATTGAAAATAGGGTGAAAGGGGGCCCAAATGGTACTTACAGATTTGGGGAAAACAAGACAGAATTGGTGAAGATGGCCGTTGTACTACTTAGAGAGGATTGTAGATGTTCAGTGACAAAAAAAAAGCCCAGGGACAGAAAGAGAGATCGGTGGGAAAGTGAGAGGCATTTTGTAGTTGAGGAGATGATACAATATGCAAGAAGAACATAAGAACAATAAAAGAAAAGGCAAACCTGGAATATTAAGACAATGATTTATTTAATAGACTAATATTCAACAAAGAGATAAACTACTTGCAGTAAACCATAGATGGGTCCTAACAGAGTCAACACCTAGAGAAGAAGTCAACATCCATAGTTGTCAAGGCGGGTGCCTAGACAAGGTGCTCATGGAGTGTTGCCTCACTTAATCGCCAAGATCTTCAAAGTAGTAGACAATGGACCAGAGTAGGTGCCTGTAGAAGTTCTGATCGAATGTAATGATAAAGAAAAGAAAAACATTAGCTGATTTTTTTTCTGTTGAAAAAAGTGGATCTCCTAGAGTCCAGCAGATTATGTTGATATATTTGTGGTGTATCTGAGCTCTCATCATGTTTTAGAGAAATATAATTGTTTTGCCACATTCTTTATTATAGTATTTATCTTAATGATGATGACAATGATGACTGCAAATCATGGGTATGTGCATGGGTCATCTCATACCCAAGCATATAAATATAGGTTTTGAATTGCAATTTAGGCATTACAGAAATATCAAATATGACCTAAATACCTAATAGACCAATTCCATTGATTGTGAATTTCTGATGTCTTCATAACTTACAGATATGATTTGCATAACACATGCTAAAACCATATGGATTTGGCCAGGTTACATACCCCGGCCAAAATTTCAGACTTAGCTCATATCATATCCTATAGGTTGTCTTCTTCCTTCATCTCTGTGATATTCATTTGGTCTTATCTTAACAGTTGCTTGATAATAAAGAATTTTTAGATACGGTAATTGCTCGCACTCCTCTTCGGCGGCCCGGCGAACCAAAGGAGGTATCATCCTTGGTGGCATTCCTTTGCCTTCCCGCATCCTCTTACATTACAGGTCAGGTTATTTCTGTTGACGGTGGGATGACTGTGAATGGTTTCTACCCAACACATGACTAGAAACAGTAACCTGCAACTTTATCTATATACTGCAGAGGATGCTCCAATTTTTTTTCCTCTTTAAATTTGTCTATGCTATCTTTTGATTAACTACTATTATCAGAGTACAATTATTTCTCCGACACCTATATTATCATAAACAATTGGAATCACACGGCTCAAAGGGTGATGATGCCTAAGCTCAAAATAAATCTGTTATGTAATGTATATCTACAGAGCATCTTGATCTGGGACAAGTAAAGGCGTTTTGGTAATGCTTTATGATTTATTTTGATCATTAGCTTTAAGTAACAGTGATATACATGGTGCATGCTTTAAATCATCGATTTGGACCCTCGTTTGGCCTCCGCCATTATTGATCCCAAAATAATCTATTCATGGATGCATGGTGGACCATAAGTAAGGTAAAGGGCTTTATTTGAAAGTTTTAAACTGGGCTTTCTGTGCTGCCTCTCAAGGTCTTAATCATGCATATGGACGGCACGGCACGTCTGTTAAGGAATCTTCCCCGTGGAAAATTGCTTTGAGGCTCAAAATGGATTCAGACAACACATTCTTGTCATTATTAAAATTGAAAAGCACGCGTAATGCCCTTCGCCCCTTACCCGATCACGAGCCTCTAACCACAGAAGAGGACGACGAGTCACAAGAGTTAAAGTTAAGTGAGCCCTAAAATTCTATCTAACAAAGATTCCTGTTCAGCTTGTTTTTTTGTTACCAACCACGGCGATCTACATTCTTGGTACAGTTCTGCACTTCTGCTATTACACAGATTAGATTATTTCACCTTTGTGTCTGTGTTAACTGTTAAATAGTTCTACCACCCCNAAAAAAAAAAACCTTGGTTAACGGGGTGTTCCTCAATATGAATTGTTTCCTTGTTTCAAATTTCAAAAACAAATCAAAACCTTCTGGGATTGAAAACAAATTGGTTCTTAAAACAAAAACATGAAAATTATGTTTGTGGTTGTATGTGTTTTTTGTTACCAAAACTGGGACCAAAATGTGTTATTGAAATCCTAGTTTGAAAAAAAAAAAACATATTTTCATTTAATTGTCTCTCATTGTACAATATCTGTACTCTAAAGTTGACCATCATTTTGATGGTTTAAAAAACATTAATTATTTTTTGAAATAAAACCAATTTGTTTTTGTTTTTGTTTTTGTTTTCTTTTGTCTTTTGCTGATGTAGTAATTTTCATGAAAAGAAAATGAAAGCAAAAACGTTAATTCCTGTTGTAGAACACTCCTTTAGTCATCTTTTTCTTCTGTTTTTTTATGGTTTTGTTTTAGGGGTTTTTGGGAGTTGGGATCTGGTCTGGTCGTTCCCATCTAGACTCCTTTTAGATTGTACATAAGTGTCATGTAGATGTTTTGCCTTTACCATACCATAATCATGATTCATGTTCAAATCTAAAATCTTTGTATCATCCTTTATGTTAACTTATGTGCATTGGGGCATTGGAGGGAACATCCTTTTGATGTTTCCCCCAACAGTAGGGGCATTTCTACTTTGATTGTGCCTAATGGCATTTATGTTTTTGAAACCACAATAGACAACTATGCATTTTATCATGTAAAAAAAGAAAGATATGATGCTAAAAACGTATATAAATCAAATACAAATGTTGAGACTTTGTCCCACTACACTCCCAAACACCCACTTTGTTATTGTTTAGTTGTTTTGTGGCATTAGCCATCTTATTAGTTAGGGTAAATCTATGATGCTAGAAAGGTATGATGTGGAAAGAGCCGCTGACCAATCAAAACGGTCCATGAATTTTGATGAATACCACTTGATTGGTTACCACTTATATGATAACAGTTGATTGGTTATATGTATCTTCTAGTATCATAAGGAGGGTAAATCCCTTAAACCTCCCCTCAACTTTGACCTGCCCTTAAGCCTCCCTTACCTTTGGGCTGTGTTTGGAAACGATGCAAATATGTGGAGTGTAAAAATGGTTCATATAAATTGCAAAATGGGTTAGTTTTGCACTGACAAATTTACCTTCTTACCAAATAGATTTTTAGTTGTAATGGATGTAAACATGAATTTCAATAAAGCATATGCTTTTTTTTAATCAAAAGTCCACTTGAATGCAAATTTACTTCTTTTTTATTGATGTACTTTTACATCTTATTATCAATGTAAATATGCATAGGTCTATCATTTGTCAGTGCATAAATGTAATGTTGTCAAATACAGGCAAAAGTGAACCAGAGTGCAAAGTTACCCTGAACCGGGATTTACATTCCATTTACATTGTTTCCAAACACACCCTTGGGGATAAAAGGATTTATACACCCCCTATCTTACTTTACCATTAGAAATCTAACAGTAATTGCTGATGTCATGGATTTAAATATGCTATAATATCAATTTTGCCCTTATGTAAAATCATTAAATGTTTGATGACTGAAATACCCTTGAATCTTTAACCAAAAAATAAAATAAAATACTCTTAAACCTTTCTTTCCCCCAAAACAGGTTTGCTTATGCCGTGAAGAAATAAAACATATTTACTCGTATTAACAGTTTTAAGGATAAAGTTAGAATTAAGAAAAATCTTTTAACTTGATAGAAGGAATTAGTATGGGCATAAAACACACTTAATGTCTCTATCCACTTAAAAATAACTAAAGGGATCTGTAAGTTCTTTTATCCCCAAAAGTCAGGAGAGGTTTAAGGGCAGGTCAAAGTTGATGGGAGCTTTAAGGTAATTACCCATCATATGGAACACTATTACCCAAAAAAGATTAAACTCAATCTCTTTTATGTTACAGTTTTCAACAGCTGGATGCTAAAATCACCTAACACGATTTAATAAAAAAAAAAAAAGCAACCAAAATATATATAGCTTCTGAATAATAGTTTATGAAGGAAATTTGTTTATCTTGTAATTTGCATGCCTTTAATTGAGTGCAGGGGCGGAGCTAAGATTTTCTTTTGAGGGGAGCCAAAATGTAATAAACATAGATAGGGGCCCAAATGTTAATAAATATAAGTAAGAAAACTAAAATATAGATAAAGTTAAAATGGGTATTGTAGGGATCTTCAAGGCATAAGGGGGCCATGGCCCCCCTCTGCCACCCCCTGGCTCCGCCCCTGCTTGAGTGGTTAGTGAAGGAGAAATATGGAAGAGTTTGATAATTCCATAGAGTTTTTCTGATTCAAACAATTGGAAGAGTTTGAGATTGAGAAATATGAGCAAGAAAGATACATGAGTGATCAGTGAAGGAGAATGCACCTGAACCAAAGAATGGTGATAGACTATGAATGATGAAAAGTTGGTGGGACTCACATGTTTGCCTTTTATTGGTTTGAACATATTTTTAAGTTGGAGTTATTTTTTTCTTAATTTTTCTTTTTTTTTTTTGAAAACTCAAAAAAGAAAATCAATAGAATTTTGTACTTCAGCACTCTCCAAGCTCTAAGCCGGCCGGTGCAGGTTGGCTATACCAGACATGTTTAAGTCAGCAATTATATCATGTGAAGCTGAAGAATCTCACATGGGCCTCTGAGACTTCTCATTGTTGGAGTGATGTATTAGAATTAAAAAAAAAAGAAACACTCTTTTCATTCTTAAGCTCTTGAATATAGGAAATTTATAAAAGAAGTTATTAATTTATTCAAGCCCCAGTAAAAATAAAGAAAAAAATACAAAAAAAAATTCAAGCCCCAGTAAAATAAGAAGGTTGCATGTTCAGCACATCTGCCTGCAGCATGAAGCTTTATTTTTTTATAATTCATGTGACGTGGTGGAACATGCTAACAACGTGGTCGGTGTCAAAATGGTGGTAGCTGCTGGGTTCTTCAATATAATCTCGGGATGAATAATAAAAGGGCCATTGCTATATGTTTTCGTATGCAGTCCGATGGAGAAATAAGGGTTGTAATTTCCATTCTATTCACTCCGATTGGGTGGGTTTTCTTATTTGAAAAAATAGATTTTGAGTCGAAACTTGGAAATAAGTTTTGGGATTTTACAATTTGTATCTTTAGAATAAGATATAGTATTAGGCTAAACCCAATTCTTCCTCACCTGTATATTATATTAAAATACCCCTGATACTTATAATTGAATAATTATCAATATAGGAAATACATATTTTCATACATACATACATATATATATATATATATGCTTTAAATCGAAAATCCTAACATTTCTTAGTATTCCTCCTCGTGACTTTAGCAGTTGATTATCATTCCTCCACCACTAGGCATTATCTTTTTACAGTCTCTATCATCAACCTCAGGTAAAATATTAGGCTTGCTTTTATTTTTATCTTTTTACAATGATATTGAATTTTTGGATTCAATGACTCTTTCGTGAGGTTCAGTTTGGAAAGAGTACAAATACAAATATATACAGTATAAATATATATAAAATAATATGAAATGTAAGGTTTTGCACTCTACAAATTTATATTTGTATTCCTTCCAAACTGAACCTGAAGAAAAAAGATTTATACAAGGTTTTGTATTTTCATGTGCCAGGGAATTTGGATTTAAAAATTCAACCTGCAGGTTTTGAAAGGAATCGAAGTTGAGCGGTTGGGGGAGGTGGAAAGAGTCTATTCTCGAACCTGTCTATGGATAAACCTTGAATGATGAAACCATTACATCGTCCATCTTGTTTTACCATGGAAATGATAGCTCATGAATAGACAAATTAGGCATCTGATTGCTTGCAATGTAATTTCATTTGCACTAATACAACTTCAAGGGATCAATACAAATGAAGAAACGTGTAGATAATAATAAAAGGCATGTTTTGATGAATCAACTAATTAACAATTCTAATTGTTAACATCTAGTAATCAAGGGGATTAGGACCAATATAAGATACATTATTACATCTCAGTGACAACATTCCTAACCACCCTCTCCTTACTCATACTAGAGAAGAGCATTAATTCCCTTCGGAAACTGGTCAGACAAGTCTTTATTCAGGTTCAAGACAATTCTTTGGGCAAATTCACTTAATTTGCACTTAATGATTATTGTTACTTAGAAATCAGAATTTCCATAAAAACCATTATAATGCCTATCATTATCAACACTCATACCATAAGAATTCGCTAGCAGTGGTTTTAATCAAGGTTTTTAAAACTGGACCGGAAATGAACTGTTCTRGGTCTGGTTCCTGGGTCGAATGGTGTGACCATTTGATCCAAACAGATGGTTCGTTTTGATAAAAATAAAATAAAAATGGCCAAAAACTATTGTCTAGGTCAGTAGTTCAATGGTTCGACCGCCCG